CTAAGTACAGGTTTCTGTTTCCTGCAACGGTTATGCTGCAACTGAGAATGTGCTCCAGTACAGCCTGGGATCACGCAAAAATGAGCGCTGTAAAAGTCGAATGCACTGCACAAAGGAAACGTACCGTGAAACCAATACAAACGGCAAACCGCCTTTTATATCACGTGACTTGTTCTGCCGTCAGTTACGTTCGATCCCATAGTTCACAAAGTCCGAACGTCTTTTAACATAAACCGAAAAACCTTTGTATGATTTAAGGTTTTCACAGCGGTGAGTACGAAGATTTCTGTCTTCATTCTGAAAAACCTTTCTCTTTCATCTTAAGTCGGATTAGGCTTGTCGAACTGCAGACCAATCCTCTTCATGTTTTATGAAGTCCAACTCAGTTCTCCAATTATACACGATGTGAGACCCCAAATAACCCAATTTTAATAAATTTTATGTTGCAAAGTGCTTGTTAAATGAGCATTTGTGTACCGCTATTTTATATTTCAAGTAAATTAGAAATGATTTTCCTTGTCAGAAAACGGAGAGAGAAAACATCCTAAGTTTGAACGTGGAATTAGTAAAAGTAGGCGATTATAATCATGGGCCCCCGGGAAACTTCACCTGTAATTATGCTGCCTTGACAGACAATAGATTTTACGTGCCTACGCGTTGCAAAGAATATAAATAAAAATATGAAACTCCTTCCTTTTAACAGCTACATTAAAAAATATAACTTAGACTGCTCTCTATGAGGTCCGTGACAAACGTTTCGACTATTGTACACATTTATATTTTCCGTTGCTTGAGATAATACATTTTAAATATTAATCAAATATTCTTTTCTAACTGTAAACAACACGGAATTATTAAACCAGTGATATTTTTTTAAAAATCTGGGTTTCGAAAGAGGTGTGTTCACAAAATTATTGTTATTCATGATTGTCCACGCTTCACGTGGTTTATTGGCAGGGTTCATAAAGTGAAAGCTACATTCTGGCCAGCGTTGAGATACAGAACTCTTACGCATGCAGTTTCCGCTCACGGACCATAATTACAATCTCGTCAACTGTTCTTTAGCTCTGTTACTTCGTGAAAGCAGGAACAAGGCATATAAATCACTTTTTGAAAAGTTGATATTTTTGACAATCCACATAATGTAGTGTCATTATTACGAAATTTTTTCCTATTGTGTTGCACTGAGTTACACAAGGTTAGAAGTTCATAAATTAGAGTAGGCTTGTGTTAGTTTCAAATAACATAACCAGGTGATGCAATATTCATTCGTGGTCCGTTATCCTTATCTTTAGACCTGTTTTCTTATAGTTGTAATTCAATTAATGAAATATCGTCATTGAAAACATTTAGATTTTGCATAAGTGAGACATTAAATTACACTCGAATTATAAGTTCACTACCTGAAAAGTGAGTAATTACTAGTGCACGAAAACACTCGTTTTATCACATCAGAAGTCGAAATAAATTAGAGTACACCTGCTCTGAAACACTGAGATTAAACAAAAACTATGTAACTTGCATAAAGCACAAAAAAGTGATATGGGAATAAAAAATAAATAACAGTTAGAAGGGGAGAGAAATTACGAAGAGGAGGAAATAACGAACGAATAAGAAAGTAAACAAAATCAGAGAAAAGATAGAACGGCCGGAGCTTGAAGCTGGTCATTCATGTCATCACAGTGCCGATCTCAGTATGGACCTGAATTAAAATATGGTTTATCTTCTCTGAGTCTTGGAGAATGGCCCTTGAAATACAAGGTGTATCGAAAAGACCTGACCGATTACAAATATTTTTATCTCTGTAGATAGTTCAAAAACGCAATATGAAAGAGACAAAGTAATGATTCCTATTGAATTATCAGTTTACTTCCAGCTGCGGACTAGCGCTCGAAGTATGTACGTAGGATTTGGCAGTACTATGAATACAGGCTGGATGTCTATCATATTACTGCATGCGCATAATGGAATGTCTTGGGTCTTTGTGCCTATATTAGATTTAGAAGATGATACAGTTGCGTCATATTGTGATAAATATATATATTTGTTTAAATCTTGTCAGTCAAATCACAATAAAATTCCTATTAATATTAAAATATTACTAAA